TCAAGCACGCTCCGAGTGCCAGGTTGGTGAAGTGGGGAGGGGGTGACTTCCCACCACACGAGTCTTTGCTTTGAGTGCCGTTCGTTTTACTCGTTCATTAGCGCTTGGCCTTGGTTTTTATCGCCTCTCTTTTTACTGCAGACTACTCTGAGATGTTCTTAAATGACCAGCACTATTAAAATGTTCCCAGATAAATAGGCAATCATCTTTCTCCTCCTCTCCCCTCTGCCAAGCCAGGCATATTCTGGCTGAGGCATCATCTATTCCCGAGAGCTGGGGGAGGCGGCTAGAGGAACCTGGTATTTTGCTTTCTGGCCCAGAACGTGGAAGCAAACGCTCTGCCGCTTCGAGTTTTCTGGACAAGAGAGTGAGTGGGCCAAGCCGGTCTCTTATGTGTTGCCTTTGTTCAGATCCCTGCCTTTTCTTCCTTCCTTCTGCCCTGCCTTGCTTTCTCCTCACACCAGCCCCGTTAGGTAGGCCAGGGTGATGGGGTGTGGCTCACGTAAGGTCAAGTTTCACAGCCACCTTGGTAGGCCAGGGTGATGGGGTGTGGCTCACGTAAGGTCACTCCGTAAGTTTCACAGCCACCTCGGGATCGGAACCCAGGTCTCCTGAGTCCTAGGTGAAGACGACGACTACACCGCACCGTCTTATGTTTGCTCTCATGTTTGCTTCTCAAGTTGGGGGAGCAACTGTTGGAAAGAAGGTGATGGGGTGTGGCTCACGTAAGGTCACTCCGTAAGTTTCACAGCCACCTCGGGATCGGAACCCAGGTCTCCTGAGTCCTAGGTGAAGACGACGACTACACCGCACCGTCTTATGTTTGCTCTCATGTTTGCTTCTCAAGTTGGGGGAGCAACTGTTGGAAAGAACACCGCACCGTCTTATGTTTGCTCTCATGCTTGCTTCTCAAGTTGGGGGTGCAACTGTTGGAAAGAAAGACACACACGCACGCACACACACACACACACACAGTCATGGAGCGTAAATCAGCAGGCCCGAATGCAATCCCTCGGCATCTCACCCTCAAGACGGGCGAGCAGAGTCACGGATTAGAATCCGAGTCCTCTTCCATCACTCTAAGAGGAGCACCCGTCCCCCGTGGAAACAGCATCCAGGCTGACAGAGCTGTCATAAATAATCCACACGCTTTTCTCGCCAGGCAAATGTGCTTAAAATAAAGCCCGCTCCCCCACAACCCTTCCTGCCCTGAAGCCAGAAAGCTTTGTCTGCTTTCTCATGCCGGAGGAAAGCCAGGGCCTGTGCAAAGAAGGGAGAAAAGCCACCTTAGCCGGGAGAGAGGGGCTTGTCGGGTTGGAACCAGCTGGGGAAGGAAGGGTGGGGAGAAGAGGACACATCCCCCCCCCCAGCGTTGGCTGACCGCTCTGAGATTGATGCGTTTAATTTGCGAACAGGATTCGGGTCCTGCTTCTCACCCATGAGGGGTCTCCGGATGGCTCTCGGCAGCATTAAACATTAAAACGCGATCAAAATACGGTATTAAAACAAGAATAAACAGGAGAAGGCATCAGCAGCACTCCGGGGGGCGGGGCGGGAAGAGCTGTGCTGCCTTGCCTCAATGCGATGCCCACCAACAGGGCAAGAAAAGGTATTTTTTAAAAATCTTTTCCCATCCATCCTGCAATGAGTGATTCAGAGGTATACTGCCTCTGAACATGGAGGTTCCATAGAGCCTCCTTGGTTTGTGACTGAAGGGCAATGAGAGGCAGGCCTCGGCGAAGTCCAGCATTCCTGTTTAGGGACCGGGTGCCGCTATCCGGACCCCAGGATCTAAAGGGGCCTGTTTGTGTCTCTGTGCCCTCCTGCCGAGGGGCGTGATGTCCACGGATCCCTGGCGAAGCAGCTGGCACAACGGTCAGCATCATGTGAGCGCGGCGCCTGCTTTCCAGACGGGCTAAATCCCTCTCTTTCTCCCGGCCCCAAGACGTGGCGCAGGATGAGAGCAAGAGAAGGCAACCCAGCGACATGCCTCTCCCCAGGGATAGAGGAGGGTGCCTAGGGGGCAGGGTGGGGGTGGGTCTCCTCAAGAGGAGGGTTTCCTCCTGGGGAGTCCTTCTGCTGAACCATCTACAGGTGAGGCTGAGGTTGGCCCTGGTGGCTGATCCACAAAAGCTTCTCTCTCCAGCTGAAGCTACTCCTGGAAGGCACTGCTTTCCTCTCACTTTGCCCTGGAGTGTGTTTGATCAGCTCTGCTGGATTTTCCCCACCAAGCCTCCCTTGGTCTCTGGTTGGACATTATGAGTTTGAACCCTGGTCGGCTTCTTCCCTTTGGTCCTGGATCACTCTCCCCTGTCTGGTAGGATTCTCCTTGTAGTCTGGGGTGGGGTGGGGTGGGGGGGGAATGTTACTTATATTTGTGGAGTAATTTACTGTTGAATTTGTAAGAGTGTAGCTTCTCTGGGAACTCTGAATCAAACTAGGAAAGTGAAGAGGGAATCCATGTAGGGATAGTGCTGGAGAGAGAACCCTAAGGTTAGTGGCAGAGAGCCTGGAAGCTGTCTGTGTTGGAGGGTGATGGAGAGGTCCTGCGGGTCTGCATCTCTTGGGTTAAAAGGAAGAAGAAAGGGGAAGTAAACTTAGGAGGGAGGAGGAGGAATAGAGAATGGGACCAAGAGTACCAGTCTACATGTAGATCTAGACGAGTCCTAAGGGGAACGAGATTGCTCTACCTGCCTATGTTCTGTTCACTGTACTGGGCCTGCGGTCAAAAAGTACAGAGAGCCCATCTGATGTAGTGGTTAGAGTGTTGAACTAGGACTCAGGAGGCCTGCGTTCAAATCCTGTTTGGCTGTGAAAACTCGTGGGGGAGACAGTGCCTGGTGAAGCACTTTTTAAATACCTCACATCAAAAGCAGCAACAGTCAGGATTTGGAACAGCTGCACTGGGAGTTACTGAAACCTGCCAGCCAGCTTGACTACTGGTTAGAGCATTTGGGAAGCGAAAGCCTCCCCTGCCCTCCCCCAGGGGGCAGCATCATCAGCTTCTGCTCCAGTTTGCCAGTGGAGGGGGGGAAGAGTAGCGGCTGGGGTGCCAAGGAGAGAGAGCCCTGGATCCTGCCGGAGAAGCCGTGCTGGCTAGCCTTCGCTCCTTCTGCACGGTGGCCCCATGCAGGTCGCCCAGCTGGCCTTCTTCCGCTTGGGTCTGGTCGCCAGAGGGGCAGATTTCTGCTTGCCTCCCTCTGGTAAGATTTGTAGCCTGACCTTGTAGCCTTTTTGCAGGGGAGGGAACATGTGGCTGGAGAGGGTTTGCCCATGGCATCCTATAAGTATTCACAGGATAGCAAAGTGAGTTGGCCTCCTTGGCAGATGGGCTAACAGAGCTGCAGCTGATGAAACGGTTGAGGTCACGCTCCGTTGGCCGAGGCAGTTTTCCTCAGCGAGGCTCTGAGACTTCAGGGCACAGCAGTTTCATTTTGAAAAGGTTTCAGGTCTGGAGCCTTTCTGTCATCATCGGAGAGCCTCGGGGGGTGTCCTGGTTCACGCACTGGATAAGGACCCCGGAGGCTATGAAACTCCATGTGGGGTGCAGTGCCAGTTGCAGCCTCTGGGGCTGGCCTACTTTGAAGGGGTGTTGTCCGGATCAAGTAGAAAGAGGGAGACATGTCCAGCTGGGATGGAAGTACAGCTAACGAAGACAGGAAGCAAACACGAATAACTTTGATTATCTAGCAACTGGGTTCAAGCCTATTCCCTTCCAGCTTAAGTAACGATGTGTGTGCAGTGGTGTTTGATTCTACAGGTCATTTTTAGGCACATACATTCAGTATTAGCCCTAGTGGAGGGGGTGGCAATGAACCCACTCCAGGTTTCACCATGAACTTTACAGGACAAATGCAAGGGGATTGGGTTCCGCCCTTCAGAGTTTTCCTGGAAAGGTAAGAGGAAAACTCGGAACGGATTCACTTTTCCAACACAGCACGAAGTTGGGACTCAGCTGCTGCCAACTGGGTAAAGGAGAGCAGGCGACCCATGGGGATCAGTGGGGCTTCACCTCTTCCAAACAGTTGCAGCTGGTTGTATACAATTTAGCTCATTGATTTGTCTAGCACAGGGTTTAAAGGGGGGGGAGAGGAATAGGCTACAAGGCATTGGCACACACAGACACGTGTCCCAGACAGGGTTCCAATCAAATAAATGATGGGGAGGGTCAGCCTCTCTCCCCTTGCACAGAACAGCGCCCCCCAGGGGAACCACGCTGGACTATCCGCTTCTTTTGCCCCGAGGGCAGTAGGGCGAGCGGGATGGAGGCGCTTTTTGGAGTGTGCCAGGCATCCGAGTGGGGGTACACACGGGTGGGGGGGGGAAAGAGGGGCAGTGTGCCTGCGTGCATGTGCTCCCTCTTTCCTCCCCGGCTGCCCACCGTGGGCCTCTGCCCTTCCCTTTTCCTCCTCCCTGTTTTGGGGGAAGGGGTGCTTCAGAGGTCTGGAGGGGAGGAGGAGGAGGGAAGGGACTTGGGGGGGCTCGTCTCCTAAGCCTGCTTGGAGCGCTGCATTTGTGTGAACGCACCCCCTCCCACTCCAGCTTTGCCCACCCCCGGGTCCAGATTGCTGTGCCCGCGAGTTCTCCATCGGTGCCGCGCCTCGCCTTCGAACCCTGGACCAGCCC